TGTCCGTCGCGCCTGTTATTATACCACCTCGATCTCTGTCAGTACCTTATCACTGTGAAACGTCCAAAAATTAACTGCTTATTTTCATYGCCGAACCTCCGGTTTCGCTTTGGCCCGTCTAATTTTTTTAGGCTCAGATAARTGCGTGCGCAACTAGGAGAAAACTTTCTAATTGTGTCGAACCCTGAAACAACCTCTTGCCTGGTCATTTCTAGCTYGTTTGGTTTAATGGAGAGAGGAAAACCAGAAGGCCCGGAGAAATACGTGATGTCGGGTTCAAAATCTAACTTGAGATTCCAGAGATGAGAATTACCACTACGCCGCCCTTGAATCTCATAAAAAGAGAAAAAATTCTACAGCGCAAGCTCATCTCTCGTCAGGTGTCGTTTTGGCAAACACTTCCAGGATTAAGTTCAAGTGGTTGTACCTCGTGCCTTCAAGCGCGCGCGCCAACTCACCAAGCAAAAAACCCGCGAATATGTTTGTTGCTTTAAGAGAGAAGCAGGTGAGAGAGATTAGCACTGTAATCAAGTTGAAACGATACTTCAGMACTTGTCTAGATTACAAATGTCTTTGAGCACAAAGATAACAGGAAAGRCAGAAAGTTGCACAGAAGACAAAGGCTTCATTCAAAACTGACTCAAAAACAGAAATCTCGCACTTGGAAACAGAGTCATTYAAAGGTTAAGATTTTAATCAAAAGTTGACTGAACCGTTTCCAAGTGGGAGGTTTCTGTTTTTGAGTTTTTCAATGAAGCCTTTGTCTTATGTGCAACTTTCCGTCTTTCCTGTTATCTTTGTGTTCAAAGAGATTCGTAACCAAGACAAGTGCAATCTTAAAAGATTGATATAACCAAGCCTTAGCAAATTGGAGATGTTTATCGCTTTCTCAGCAAAGGAAATGCGAATCTTAACAATCGCGTGTACGTCATACTATAAGATGACAGAGTTGTTGAAAATATTTATGATCTGTATTGTGTACTTCTTTCTTCACTAGAGTGTGGTCGTATTTGTCGTATTTGTAGCATCAAAAAAACAGGTCAAAGTCGACCTTTAGTCCTTGCCATGGACGGCTTAGTATTTGTGGTGAAACTAGAGTCCTAGCTTGGATAATAAACAGAGAAGRAACACATGGAGGAAAGCCATTAGCGGTGTGTGTGCAAGATGATACCAGTGCTATCAGAACACTTGGAATATTGTATCAATACAAATCCTATCAAAGAAAACGAGCCAAATATCTGTAACTAAACACGAGCAGGAAGAACACCATGTCAAATCACACACGCGTTGAAATTCAAGATTATGAGCAACAATGAGAATATAATGTTTTTTGGTTGTTTATGTTTGCGGTGTCTAAATACGGTACGGCAAGAAAGACCGGGTGAAGAAGGAAAGAGAAGGTTTAACCTTTTAGTTGAGTAAACAAATGGCTGGACCACGAAATGAAAGCACAGAGAACCGAAGCTTAGTAAAAATAACACCCAATATTTAAATCCTAATTCCTATGCGTAGGAATTGACCCTTAAACGACATTGACAGAGACAAATAATACAATTAAAAACAATTCGCACTCAGTTTTTCCCCTAAGTAGTACTTACCCGGGTCGTGGAACGGGACCAATGCATAGTTGTACAACGGCTTCACACTCTGCTTTAAGCTTTCCGCTAAGATTTTAGAGGCTCTTGCACGTACTTGAACAAGATCGTCGTACATACTTCCAGTCGTATCAAAGACAAAAGCGAGAGTCGCTGCTCCTTCGGGAATCCCGTTTTGGGCTCCAGTTTTGCTTAGAACAATACTATTTACACAAAGAAACACAAAAGCTTTGTAATAGTCCATTTTGAAATTGTTTTCCCTCAAGCTATTGTCCTGGTAGAATCTTTAAACTTATGTCGTTGCAATAAACTTGTAAATCTTGGTCGTTCCAGAATYGTTTTGGATTATGAATGATATCTCTATGAGCAGAAAGCAATTGCCAAGCGGAATCTCGCGAGATCGAAGCTGGAAATTCTCCAGCCGTGTAAACAAGTTCTTTATGAGACTTTCAACACGAAGATCCGTGCAAAGACCTCTAGATAAAGACCTCTCTTTCTTGGTTGGAGTAATTCCTCACATTCATGCCCAATGATTAGAAGTCGGTGTCTGTTAAAGATAGTCCAAATTTCTCAAGAGAATGGCGAGAAGTTGGGTTTCTTTGTTTCCTAACCTACGAGCCACACATTAGGAACCCAATAAAGATGTCGGTAGGAGTGTGTTACCCGATGCACTGCAAGATGATACATCTAAGACGAGAGGATACATCAATAGTCCATTCAGTTGATGGGAACCCTGTTCGCATAATCGATCAAACCCCGGCCCCGCGAGGTCCGTGAGGCGGAGTCTGCCTGAAATGAAACATTTCTTTAGATCAACAGGCTCTTTGGATTCAAAAATCAATCATCTTCAGTCGTTCAGTGAATGATTTGTTAGGTAGTGCAATCAGCATCATCTCATTGCGTTACCTATTGACGGCTTTGGGGGTCAACACTTGCTGGTTGTTGAAAACAGTGTGAGTGGAAAACCTCGTGGAGTGTCACTGCGCTAAGCTGGCTGACAAACGGACAAATGCAAGAAACTATAGCCTCTGTAGAGCAGTTTTCATATGACTGTGAAAAGCTCACGGCACGAACACGGTCGTGACACGGCAATGCATTCGCCAAAAAGAAATTTGCTTTCCATTCCCGAAACGCGGCACGATTTCGGCACGGACACAGACACARTCACGCCAACKTCACGGCACTGCCCACCACATTGCGCGACGCGAGAGATAAATCCCTCAATAAAAATTCTAGAAAATATCATGGTCGCGGCAAGRCACGCATGCTGCACCGTTTTTTGTACAGTAGTACGAAAACTACGTAACGGGCGTAACGTTTTCCCATTTCAGACAGTTTTATCAGTTGCGCGCAATGAGACACATAAATATCATGGATTCAAAATCTTATGGCTCAAGAGGATGACACATCTTCTGAAATGGGAAAACATTTCAGAATATGAATACGCCCGTAAGGTGTAAACCRATATACAGCGCTCGTCAACTGGTCATTACGGGGTGGATATTTGGATTGTCGCAGTTCGAATTCGCGACATTTCACCTTATCTACCTGCGTCGTACAGCCGGACTTTTCTCGTAGATAATTACGTTCGGCTGCGTTCAGACTACATTTAAACTGATTCCTACTGGGTGTGCTTTGCTGGGCATCATGCTAAAGATAGTCGAAGTCTTGCAGTCCAGGTTAACACGATGTGAGCTGCTGGACTTTTTTWAATCGGAATGGCTTCAAGCACAGGATGATAGTGCTATGCCGYGTACGCATAAAACGTATTCGCACGGGGCTATTCCGTGAGGTTCCCTCCACACGCACTTCCACTACTTTTCATATTTTTATACAACATACATCACTCAACCAACATGTTGATTTTTACGGAGGAAGGAAACCGGAGAACCCAGAGAAAACCCTCGTGGCAAGAGGAGAGAGAGCAACACATCAAAAAACTCAACTCGCATATGATCCAGTCTTAGCCGGAGCTAGTAGCCGGAGCTCGTAGCTCGAACCCAGACCACAAAGGCATATGTTTATGAAGCACATATGGTAAGGACATTGAATTCCAGGTAAGCAGTGTCCGTGAGAATAAGCGTTAAGCACGAGGTATATATCGCTTTACCTATGCTCGAGTTTCGCTTTCAAAGACATGAATTCGTAACTTTGGGCAGCACATGTGGAGAGGGCATGGTCAACTTACAACGTATCCTCCAGTCATCCTCCAGGGTGGTCTTGTTAAAYATTGACATGAGATTACAAACCTGCACAGAGATAGCAGAGATATCCATCAAAACCAATGTTAATTAATGAYCCATTACGACCACAATATAGGTGGTATGCTTTCTTACACACGAGAACAAAAAATATGACCGCCATGATGGTTGACATGACCAAAACCATTATTTATTGTCATCCAACATGGCGCCCGGTATGACATYATGCGGGGCCAGTATAGACCCCTTGCACTAAGTCCCTCGAGGAATTGTTCTGGGCCCTGTTGTACAAAGCCTGGATAGTATTATCCGACGGATAAATAAATTTATTGGATAACAGCATCGACTTATTCACTGGATAAGATTTATCCGTTGGACAGCACTATCCAGGCTTCGTACAACCRGGCCCAGGGGGACAAAACAATAGATTTTTTGCATAARAAAAGATGCCCTATAGTTTYGTCCCCCCAGAACAATTCCTCTAGGAATTCAAAGCAAGGGGTCTAAAAAGACATATAACTATATATTTCTCTTTTTCGTCTTCCCGTGCAGTCTAAGCTAGGAGAGGGATCCCGGCTTGCTTACCATTTTTATCACGAGGGGGTGGGGGAGGGGTAAGTCATGACCGACTCTTTTGCGGGACCCTTGTTTGTTTATTCTCGATCTTCCTTTCTTTTCGGTTGACTTTACGGCTCTCGATGGTATCACGTCCAAGAATTTAGATTAACATAGATCCTCGTGAACTCTTCGATAAAGGTATATCCGGTAACCCGATACATCCGGCTAGTATCTCCGGCGTTTTAAGTCATGTAACAGCAGTCGGTCGGCGTAGTTCGGGTCCTGTCCCGTTGCTTTAACAGAAAGAACACTTTGAATCACGGAAGGGGTCATCTGATGGCTGGTAATGATTATTTATCAATTTGTGACTGACAGGGAAAGAAGGGAGTGAGAGATGTCTATATTAAAGAGAAAATGAGTAGCGGGGGGGGGGG